CGTTTCTGGGACTGTAGCATCAAAGTCTCATGGTGTTATTATAATTACCACTGATGACCTTGCTTATATCCATTTGACACATGGATTAAAATGATGCCTTGCTTGCATGTCCAGAAAAAACAAATTTATTACAGCTGGAGCTAATTTAGGAGACTATATTGTTAATTTGGGTTTTTGCAAAAACTAAACAGTTTTTTTCTTTGGGCTTGAAGTCATAGTTGTAAGTGGTCCTAATCTGATATATTTATTTTGAAAATGTTTTGATATTTATTTTTTTTTTATATTGAATGATTTATGATTGATTTACATCAATTGTAACATGGAAAACAATATTCATTTATTGACTGGGTTTGAGGGCAACATGCATTTTGTTGGACCCAAGAACCAAATACAAGACTTTTAGACTTTAGACTTTTTTTTAGTATAGATTTATATAGGAACCAATTTCTCAAGGTATAACAATGTTAAATATACAAGGCTCCATCTTGTTCCCAGCATGTTGAGTAATAAATTCCTGAAAAAATGTTTACTATTCATGTACAAAATATTATGATATATTGTTTAAAGCTGAACACGATTCGTAAAAGAAATGTGTCCGCCATTTTCGACTGGTTTCTCGCTATATCTGAGGGCCCCTATATATCAATGACATTTTATGAATATTCATTCCTATTTTGATTCATTAATATATCCCTTTGAACTCGAAGTAAAAGATACCACAGAGTCTGACAGATCTGTTTCATATCTAGAAAAAGACATTAGTGGAAACCTAACAACAAAGCTTTATGATAACGTGATGGCTTCTACTTTTCTATCGTCAACTTCCCTTATTGATGTACAGTAAAACTCAGTTATAGCGAAGTTCTGGAGACCTGAGAATTTACTTCACTAGATCCGTAATTCGTTATACCCATATAACAAATTCGTTAAAGTATACATAGCGACTTCGCAATATAAATTTTTTTCCTTGAAGTATGACTACCAAATGTATTTTGGGGAAGTAAAAAATATATAATTTACCTTGGAGTTCAAAAATTTTCGGATGAATAGTGTTCTAAATATATATACTTAGAAAGTAAATGTCAGTTCAATATTTTAAAAACTAAATTCTTTAAAAATTCGCTATAAAAGATGTAAATTTCGTTATTTTTAACTTCTAAGGGACACAGAATCAGTTCGTTATAACCATAAATTCATTATATCCAAGTTCGTTATATCCGTAATATTTTACAAGGAATTGTTAAGAATTTCGCCAGGGATTGCAAAAAAACTTCGCTATATCCGTACTATTCGTAATATCCGTGTTCGTACTAAATGAGTTTTACTGTATAAGCAATATACCAATAGCACCTGCATATAAGGAGTTATGTCTTCAAAACCTATACTTTATTTGCTCTGCTTTTCGTCCACCATCTGCCCCCTCCTGCTGGGTGGAGGACATACCAAGGGAGGTGAATCATGCCTCCGCAGCTGTGACGACACTGAAATAATTCTATCAGGTGATTTCAATATTGATTTAATGAAAGACCCCCCACAATACTGGACACCTGCTTTAAAGGAGTTTGGACTGTCACAGATAATTATTGTACCTACCCGAGTTACCAGTACCTCAAGTACCTTAATTGATCATTTTTATACGACCAAACCAGATAACATATGTGAATTCTGTGTCCCCCCTATTGCTATCTCTGACCACTACCCCGTGTGTTCGACACGCAAAGCTAACTGCATGCAGCAAAAAGGTAAACATATTGAAATTCAATACCAAGACTTTAAAAATTTTGATGAAAATAATTTTTGTACAGATTTAATTAGCAAATGTAAATTTAAACACTCTTCTCCAACTTGATGATCCAAACAAAATATTGAACAGTTTTTATGATTTATTTAATGGCATTCTTAACAAGCATGCAAAAGTAAAAAACAAAAAGAGTCAAGACAGATATTCGACCTAAGTGGCTTACACAAGAAATTAATGAGGCTAGACATTTACGTGATTTTTCCATTTACGAGGGGATTCAGACAATTTCAGATTTTGGGGAAATAAGGTCACACAGCTAATTGATGAAGCCAAAACATCTTATTACAAATCAGCTATTGAAGAAAGCTCAAGTCCTAAAGAAATGGGGGGGGGTTATTTAAACCAATTGGCATCTCCAGACTCAAAAAACTTTACACCAACCCGTATCACTCAGAATGGTTCTGATTTTGAAAATTTACAGGTTATAGTTCAACTTGATATTTTTAATAAACACATTACAGAAGTATCCAGTAAGTTATTGTCAGATATGACAGTGCCAAATTTTGATTCTAAATTATTAAACAACTTTACAAAATCAAAACTTGGGAATGAAAACTTTTTCAGTATTCACCAAATTAGTGAGATAGAAGTATTTTTAAAATATGTTGAATGCTCTTGATTTAAATAAGTCAGCAGGTGTTGACTTTATTGGCCCTGTCTACTAAAACTCTCTGCTAATGTCATATGCAAATCCATTACACATCTTATAAATGCTAGCATCACTAATGGTGTATTTCCATAACATTTAAAGAAAGCAAAAATCACTCCTATTTTTAAGATTATGGTGACCATGCTGATCCAGGAAACTACAAACCTAATATATCAATTCTTCCAACATTGTAAAAATTAATTGAAAAAAACACATAGCCAATCAACTATAGGATTTTACCACTACCTTTGATCTTATATATAAATCACAATCTGGTTTTCCAAGAGTTTCATTCCTGTCAAACAGCATTTACAAAACTAACAGACAATTGGTTACAAGCTATGGATCAAGGAAATCTTGTAGGCATAACTTTTCTAGATTTTAGTAGTGTTTAATTTAGTTAATCACGATATTCTGATGAATAAACTTAAGTTGTATCACTTTGACCAAATGTCAATTAAATGGTTTTATTCCTATTTAAGCTCCAGGACTCAATCTGTAAAACTAAAGGTACATATATATTCCTCTAAATTCTTGCCCATCACAGCAGGTGTGCCTCAAGGTTCTATTTTAGGGCTACTTTTATTTTTACTGTATATAAATGATCTTCCTCTACATGTAAATCATACATATATTGATTTGCTTGCTGATGATGCAACTTTACATACCGGGTATATATCATTATAATGTGCATTCTATTGAAAATGCCCTAAATGTTGATTTGTGTGAGATTGAGAACTGGTGTTCCAGAAATCAAATGGTGTTGAATATTAATAAGACAAAATGTATGCTTATGGGAACTCAACATAGAAAATCTAAGTTAACATCTTCAAAATTAGATCTTTGTGTATCAGACGAAGTGCTAAAAAATGTTGAATCAGAGAAACTCCTGGGAGTGCATATTGATCATGCATTCATCATGTTCATTGCACTATAATTATCAGGGATTGACGTTAACTTTCAGATTCACTTGCCCAAAGGGCAAGTGATCTCAAATTTTGACTTGTCCGAATGCAAAACTTGGTTGCCCAAATAGGAAAATAATTTATTGCCGTAAATATTATGATAAGAAAAAGTGTGCACAGATACACTACAGTAACTATAAATCTGGAAAGTTGAGGTACCTGAAAAAATTTAGGTGGTACGTTTGGACATAAATGTATACTACCACTTTCCTTGTCAATTTAATCTGTAAACACACACTGCAATGCATCAATAACCATCCATTTCCTTTTTAATAAAAAATCATTTTGGGTAGGATCGTTTTGTTTTGTGAATTTTGATTGATGCAACGCTAAGGAAGATAGTTGCTATGAAACATAAATATCTTGATCAGGATAGGCCATATTATATTCTGTCAGTGTGAATGAATTAAGTAGTTAACAAAGTTGTAATACGTAGAGCGTATTTAACATGAAATAAAAAAGAATAACGAACCCGATTTTTAATGAACGATATAATCTAGAAATCCAAGGGAGCAATGTCAGTCATGTATCTGGCGGAAATCAAGTGTTCAATCTATTGTTTTATTTATAATTAATGTAAAATAGATACCAATATACATTTCTATCAGAAAAATTCACTTGCCCGATCGGACAAGTAAGTTGACAGTTTCACTTGCCCGAACTGAGAATTTACTTGTCCTGGGCAATCGGACAACCGTTAATGTCGATCCCTGATTATATTGATTATGTTTGCAAGTCCTTGACATATAAACTATTTACATTATGTAAGATTAAAAATTTTCTCCCATTACACACATGAAAACTGTTCTATAATGCATACATTCTGCTTTCTTTAAATTATTGTTGGACTATTTGGGGCAATGCTCCAGGTGCTGGCATAGAAAGACTTTTTAAACTACAAAAAAAAAGCAGCCAGAATTATATTAGATGTGGTCCCTGAGATTCCCCATCACTACCATTATTTGTGAAATTTGGGTTGGTTGACTATATATAAGTTGATTGATTTTCACAAATACATATTACTTTACAAAACACTTCATGTATGGCACCTGATTATCAGAGAGACTCCTTTGAATTCATTTCCTCTAATAATTATATCCTACATTCTGAATCCAATTATGACCTTAGTCTACAAAAGTATCGAACAAATATATTTAAAAATTCTTTTCAATATTCAGGCGTTCATTAATGGAACAAATTACCACTACATGTACGTTTTTCACCAACTGCACAAAATGAAGAAAAATTTATCATCAATGGATGCAACATTTCTTAATTTGTAACTTAATAATATATACTTTTTTCAAATGTATTTCACCTATGTCATATACATGTACTTGCATTTCTTCTGATTATTGTACTGTTGTATTCATAATTGTATTATACATGCATAGAGGGCCCCGAGGAAGACTATAGTGCTTTGCACTAATCGGCATATTCGGGTTACCCTCTTTAAATAAAGTATTATTATTATTATTTTAGAAATAGTAAGGTTTAAAAAAAAGCTTATATATCCTCTATTTATAAAAATGTTCACTTCTTATTTTATATCCAAAATTCCTTAATTTATGCATTGTTTTTGCAGTACTTGGTCAGGGTATCCAAAAAACCATCACTGGCTGCATTAGTGACAACGTTACTTTGGTCTTTGATCTCCCTGTAAATAAGTCTCTTACTGTGGATAGTTATATTTGGTATAAACAGATTTTAAACCCAAAGGATCCAAGCTTTGCCAAATACAAAGTAGCTGATAAAAACTTCCAAATCTTCGTAGATGATGTCAAGGATCGACTACTCCACAATCATGATGATTCATCACAGCTGAAAAATTTAGTTTTACTAAATGTGCAGAAAAGTGACATTTCTAAATATGTTCTTGTGATTAATTATGTCAATGTCACACAACAGTCGTCGGAGTATGTCCTGCAATTGTCAGTAAAAGGTATGAACAATTTTTAAGTAAAGAGAAAGTATATTGAACAGTTCTGGACGATTTCCAAATATGGAAGTCAGGAACGATAGCTGTGAATTGCTATAAATACACAGAATGAACAAGGTGCTAATCTTTCTGACCAATCAGATAATGGCATTTAGACAAACCCATGAGAAAATAAATAAAACATGGTTTAAACTATTTTGCCCAAAAGATTTTTTTAGAGAAAATTTTTTAAAAACTTTATGCATATGTATATTTATAAATTCTAAGTGGGATTAAAAATCTGTCACTACGAGGTACACATGTAGCAATCTCAAAAGTTTATCGTGTTAAGAAATTTGATATCAATGCGGCAGATTTTCAGTTTTTAGAGCCTGACATAAAAATATTTTCGTATGGGAATATAACAGTTTTAATTATTTCCTGAGTGTTTATTACAAAATTATCCAGTTTCTGGTATGCATGGTAAGTTATGATGATAAAAAGCATTCATCTACATTCCCTTTTCTCTATGTTTTACACTTTTCCTAATGTCCATTTAAAATGTATATAACATGGTATTCAGCACTCATGAAACCCGTGATATTTTAAAACTACATGTAGTCTATACGATGAACACTTGTATGCAGTAGATCTATACGCATAGAAACTATGTGTTATCAATGAAAATCGGACCACTAAGCAAAATTATATTTACCAACATAGAGCGTATTCTGGTTAATGTTGTAATTGATAATAGCTTGATGGTGTAATCTATTCCTCCATAAAGGATTGCATTGTTACATGCATTAATGTTTTTTTTCCTAGATGAAAATGTCAGATTTGTTCACGGTAAGTATGTATGTGGGGGATACCTTATTTTTCCAAACTTTTCACCTAACTTCCGAAGTTTTTTTGTCAAAAAAATATTTTTGAAGGAAAAAAGCAAAAGCACGTGTTCTCTTTTATTCCTTGGAAATATGTTTTGGGTGTGTAAAAATGCTGTTGTCTGACTGGGCAGAAAATATTTACATGTATATGATGAATATTTATAGCATCTTTCAGTTATCGTTCTTGACTTCCATATTTGGAAATCATCCAGACCTGTTGAAGACCTACTGAAGTGTATCTTATTTAGGCTCACCTGAGGCAAAGGTACAAGTGAGCTTTTCTGACCGAAAAGAGTCTTTCAACTGTCTGTCTCTGTTGTGTGTCTAACTACTATCAAAGGCTGATCCAGCACCGGGCATTCGCTCTCCTCCTACCCCCTAACCCCCTTTTGTATATGTTATTTATAGTCCCCAGGTAAAGTGTTGGCACGTAGTATAAGGACTGATTTAAACTTAAAGAAAATCTTAACTTACAACCACAAACTCACCCCTGCCCTGCACACACACACACACACAAAAGAAAATTTTGGAGATTGGACTTTTTTTTTGGCTTGTCAGAAAAAATCATTGAAATGAGCCCCCCCCCCCCCCCCCCCCCCCCGCTTCTGAAATTTCTGTATTGTCCATAAACTTCACTTTTTTAACTTCTCCAGAACATGGTTCCAATTAGAATCAAATTTTACACAAACACACAAAGTTTCTTCAAATGAAGAACCAAGTTTGGAGTGCTATCTTGACTATGTTGGAATCAGCTCCATCTGTCTGTCTAGCTATCTGTCTAGCTGTGCAACTGTGTCCAGACTACCTTCATAATGGAGAATTTTTGTAAGCTCATGCTAGACCAAAGATAGTCCTAAGGGTGTGTCATGACTTTAAATTAACATTATTTTGGACAAGCTCAAGGTCATGGGCAGGAAAAAGTTTATAATTTTTGTCTGGTCCACAACTTTCTAATGGAGAAACATTGGAAGTTCATACTTCACCCCAAAATTACTTAGATCTTATGAATATGTCATGAACAACCTGTATACCTAATTCCATTTTTAGACATTCAGAAAATGCATAATTCCTGTCCTGGCCGTATCTTGTAATGAAGAAACATTGGAGGCCCATCAAAAAAAAAAAAAATTAAGTCTATATAATGACCTTCACAAAGATCATTCCAGTAAGTTCAAGGTCACTTGCAGAAAATGTGTAAAATCAGTAGCTTCGTAAGAGGTACTGTAAAATCACATATTTTCATGGGGGTCAGATTTTCATGGTTTGAGAAAAAAATATGGGTTTGAGGGAATTTAATTTTGTGGATGAAGAATTATTGAGTAGTTATGTATATATGACATTTTACATTTCGTGGTGGACATGAATTCGTGGGTCTCTTCATACCTCGAAAACTAATTAAAAATTAAACCCCAATTACAAAAAAATTAGTGATTTCACAGTAAAACATTGATTGCAGTTTTCAGCCAAAGCTTGCTTATGATTTGAGAATGCATCACCACATTATTTATGACATTTGGGTAAGTTCAAGGTCACTGGTAAAATTTATGGCTACATCATTACTTTGTAACAGGCAGACTTTGAAAACCCATACTTGACTCAAGGATTGCTTATGACAAAAAAATGTATAATTCTTTTCTAGGCATACCGGTAATCTTTGTAAAGAACAAAGATTGGAAGCCCATATTGAGAAAAAGATGGTTCATATGACCTGACGATGTGCTTTGTTGCCAGTTTATGTTTTTGGAGAACATAAATTTTGGAAATCATATAAATCTAAATATCTATATCAGACTTCTGTTCTGTATCCTGAATAACAGGATTTAAGAATGCCCTCCAGCTTACAAATCTGTATTTTCTAGAAGTTTAACAAATGGCCCATTTGATAAATTAAATAAATTCTAGGGTTATGAGACTGCTTTCTTTTTTGGTCACCTGAGTCATTCAGATGACCTTTTGTTTTCTGTTCTCATCCGTCGTCATGTGGTGTGCATTGTGCGATGTGTTTCGACTGTTAACATTTGAACATAGCTTCTTTTCAGGAACCTCTCAATTAATTTCAACCAATTTTGGCATATGGCATCTATGAGTGAAGGGAAAATTGTTAATTTCTTGGTCTCTTCCCCCTGGGTCCTGAGGGGTGGGGCCTAAACCATAAAAATTAGTGCAATCTTCAAAAATCTTCTTCTTTACTCCTGATCGTCAAGCAGTTGAACTGTTGCCATGGTTGTAATAAGCATTGAGCTCTCTTCCAAAATTTGGACATTTGTGGCCCCAGATTCAGGGTTCTTGAAAGGCTCTATTTGATAATATAGTGAAAATGCATTAATTCTTTGGTGAAAATGCATGATTTTTTAAAATATCTTTTTCTCAGCTATTGGGTATTTAATAGACAAACCAATTGCATGGTTATGATGGGCAAGGGTGCCTCTTTCAAAATTTTGAAATTCATAGCCCCTGGGTCAGGGGTTTTAGTGTAAGGAAGGAGCAATGTTGAATATATAGTGAAAATGCATTAAATCTTTGAAAATCTTCTATCCTTCTGGGTATTAAGCAAACAAAATGCATGGTTATCAGCAAGGGTGCTTCTTCCAAAATTTTTTAATGTCATGGCCCCAGGGCCAGGGCTTTTGGTGTCAGGGTGGGGCTTTATTGATTATTTTTGGAAATGCATCAATTCTTTGAAAATCTTCTTCTCTGCTCCTTGGTATTTAGAAGATAAACTATGTGCATAGTTATGATAAGCAATGTTTTCTAATTCCAAAACTGTGAATTTTATGACCCCCTGTGTAAGGGATTCTGGTGTTAGGGTGGGGCTGTACATGTATTTAAATGTACAGTGAAAATGCATTATTTCATTGAAAAGATACTGCTCTTCTCCTGGGCATGAAGGATGGGTATTTTTACCACATGTATTTGTGAAATTCTGAACTACTTGGTCAAGTGTTTTGGTGCTGGACAGGACTCTATTAATTTGTATTCTACTTAGAGAAGGTATATCCATTTGCTATTCACCTAAACACCTATGATATTTAATCACTGTAAAAAATGTAATTGAAAGGTCAATTGAGTAAGCGATAATACAAGAATTTTTATAATATATAAAAACACTTTCATAGTTTTTAAGGATCAGGGAGACTTGTGAATACAGTAATACTTGTCTAATCCGGACACCATTGGTTCCAAAAAAAAAATTGGCCAGATTGGACAACATTCCGGATTAGAAAATATTTTTAACAATTAAATTTATTGAAAGGACTTAAAGTTTACGTTGGATTAAGCAAGATTTCAGAATACACAACATCCAGATTAGACAAGTTTCACTGTAATAGATAAAAAAAAAATGAGACAAAATACCTTATTTTTATACATTAAATGTTCTTCAATGACCAAGAGAGGCCAGAGAGAAAGATGGGTTTACAAATAGTGCATAAGCACTTTTGTTTTGTTTTGTTTACATGGTGATAGTAACATACAGGGGCAAGTACAGGTAAGTAAATATATCTTCTTTAAGATTTGTTACTAGACTAATTATATTGTTGATCCTTGATCATCCTATTTCTTTCAGTTTATATCGTTTTATTTTTATACTTCTGTGGATCCTTTATAGTGTTGTTTTATACTCAGGTGACCATTAGGGTCCTTGGGCCTCCTGTTTGATAAAGTGTGTTTATCAATTTCAGATGTTTGCTTTGAGAATCCCAGGGTAAAGGATGGATGTGTTTTTTCAACTTGTTTCACAGGAGAAAATGGGAAGCTTACAATGGTAACAAATTTTATCCAAGATGTGGTCAAATTGAAAAAGTGAAATCTCATGGGGAAAGGGAAATGTCCATTTATCATAATCAATTTTGGTGATGGCAACAAGTATATGTAGACCAAAATTTCTATGCACAAGAAAGACCACCATTTGTAGAAAAAGAATTGCATATTATTAGAACATAGGATGAGTTTCATGTGCCTCAGAGGCATTCATTCATCTTAGGCCATCCTTAAAAAATTGTTTGTTTGGAATTGCCACCTGGGAGGTTTCAGACTCAGGAGGGAGGGAGAGAAATTATTAATTTTTTTTTTAAATTTAAAAATTGATGATAAAAATCTCAATAAGGAATGAACACATTATTTTCCATCTTTTTGTAAAGGGTATCTCTCATCAACCAGGAACCCAGTTTTGCTTAGATCCTACACTTATTAAGTGATTAGGTGGCACATATGGTAACAGGCCAAGAATTGATTGAATTAAAAAAAAAATCTTCATATTTTTGGTCAATAAAATTTTTCCAGGAGGGGTCATTTCAATGAGGCAGGAGGCAATTCCAAACAAACAATAATTTTATTTTGGCCATATTTATTTGTCTGAAGGATCTTGAAAATGTTAAAGTCACATAAAAAGTTCATTTTTCTAATATACATCAATCATATTTCCAACACAGAAAATATACCTTGGTCAAAATTTGTGTCAAATTACAGAACATATCGGTTGTATGATATCTTCTTTCATTCAGACTAATGAAACAGACATGATGCAAACTGTGAATGGCTACACAGTGATAAAAAAGTGTACCAAAGGTATGTCTGTCAGCTACTTGTGTTGTAATGCAGCCGGAAAATGTGAGGAGCAGATGTTCAAAGTACCAGAACATGATAAAGGTATGTTCTTATTACATATTATTTGGAACTACAGTCCCTGAAAGGTTCTACTTTCCCACTTGAATGGTGAGTGAACGCTAAACGAATGCAGAGCCAACAGTGTGTGAACACTGAATGGTGAGCAAATGCAGAATGCAAATGTATGTGCAAAGTGAAGGGTGAACAAACAATAAACACAAGCATTCAGAATTTCTCTAATGTTTTCCTTGCATTGTACATATTCTATTGTCAGGTACAAAAAAGTAATCTTGTAAATAAATAAATTTTGTAGTGCCAACATTACCAGTCAAGTTTAAATCTTTTTTGTTCTGAACACTGCCAGAACAAATATAGAAATTAAACTAGAAACTCATTGCGAGCAATGAGAGGTCTTCCGTCCGATTCTGAAAATAAAAACGAAAATTCAAGCTGAAAAAGTGATAAAAGAAATTCAGACACTCTGGAATTGTAACCCTGGTCGTCAGCGTGCAAATTCAACGTGCTATCTCCTTTAACCGGAAGTTAACCTTTTCAAGGTTACTCTAGACATTTGCACTCTGAATAACATATTTAAAATTCATTTCAAATACTATATCTATAAAGAATATTAATGAGAAAGTAAAATACTCAAATTATTTAGTTTTTCTCTTATAACCAGAAGTTGTCGTTTTTGTTTCCAGTGGGACCAACATTTTTCGAATCTGCGAAAAAGATGCAATAAAGTGATGCAATTTTTAATTAAGAAAAGAAAAGTTAAAATTTTTATTTCTTTTATCACTTCCGGTGACGACTGGAAGTAACGGCTGATGCTCTGAACCCAAATGGTTTTGCCTACATCTTAAGGACTGTTGCTCATATAAGTTTGTTGTCTTAATCTCTTACCATTTTCGAGTTCTTGCTCAGACAACTTCTTGTATAGAACTTTTCAAGATCTCTTGAGTAGTTTTAATTGTAATAAACAGGATATATTAGGGATTGTTTAACCTACCAAGCCAACCTTCTTTTTTTTTTAGATTTCGTCAAATCAGTGTTTTTGCAATTCTCAATGCATTTCCTGTGTAAAATGTTGATAAAAAGGACCTACATAATTTTTCACCATAATATTTCTCCAAAACTCACTTATTTCATATGGTTTTTGTTTTATATATGCTAGACTTTGACCCGTGGGTGCACGGGTTGACATTGTTATGAATGCATCCATGTGCATATCAGACATTTACAAAATAGATACATCGACACATTCATATTGTAAGGTACTTTTGAAATGAACAATGAATGTGAATACAATTCTTTTTTTTTTGTTTGTGTGTGTGTGTGTGTTTTGCAAAATTGTTGCGTAACTGCATAGCGCAGAAGGGTTTTGACCCCCAGTTAGCTATAAATCAAGTCATGAGTTCAAATCATGCCGGAGCTTACATAAATTTCACCTTCCCAAACAAATTTAATAAAAGAAATTATGGATATTTATTGAAAATATGACAACAACAAAGAGTTGAGCATTGCTGATACATATCTAGCAAAGTAATGAAAATGAAGAAATGTGCGAAGCTGGTATTTTTACACAATCAGTTATTAAACTAAAGGTGTAAAAAATTTTGTAACAATTTTAACACTGCAGGTCTCAACTTCTCAATTTGTTCAAAATATGACCTCAACAATAAAAGAGTTAAGCACTGCTAATACATATACTTTATATATACACAGGTAATAGACATGTATATAATCTGTAAAAGCAGAGATGAAAATGGAAAAAGGTGCTATACTGGTATTTTTACACAATTTAGCAGATGTGATGCAGAACAGATTATTTTGCAAATGCCCCCCCCCCCCCCCCCCAAAAAAAAAAACATACTGGATGTTCAAGAGATCATAATTAAAAATTAAGAATATCAAATGTACTAAGTCTTTATATATGATACTAGACTTTGACCCGTGCGTGCACGGGTTGACATTGTTATGAATGCATCCATGTGCATATTGGACATTTACAAAATAGATACATCCACACATTCATATTGTAAGGTACTTTCGAAATAAACAATGAATGTGAATACAATTCTTTTTTTGTTGTTGTTTTTTTTGTTTGTTGGTTGGTTTTTGTGTGTGTGTGTGTGTTTTGCAAAATTGTTGCATAACGGCGTAGCGCAGAATTTTCATTTCCAATGACTTCTAGATATTTTAGCTGAAAATGTAAATATAGAAACAAGACAAGGACATACCGGTACCTATCTCTATTTTTGAGTTACTTCCCTTAACAGCTATAATTACATATTATTCATAAGGGTCGAAGGAGTCAGACTGGTTGATTGATTCTATCATGTAATTGATTGAAACACATTGTCATAAAAATATTGGCATGGATTTATTTCAATTTTTATTCGTAGTTACTAAATACTGCTTCCTTCATACAACCTAGAAACTGATCTCAGTCGGTCTACCTTTCAGCATATGTCACATCTTTGCCTTTCCCAGCATACTAAGCATAACTATGATAAATGACGACCTGTTGACTCTTTGTCTCCTGAATACAATTTACAACGAAGCCATTACTACTTTTTTTCTTGCTGTATAGATGATTCTACCCGTTGAAGGAAGTACACATGCTTTTTGTTTACCTCTGTAAACTTATGCTTTATTAGCTCACCTGAGCCAAAAGCTCAAGTGAGCTTTTCTGATCAAAATTTGTCCGTTGTCTGTCGTCGTTGTCGTTGGTGTTGGCGTTGTTGTTGTTGTTGTAAACTTTTCACATTTTCATCTTCTTCTCAAGAACCACTGGGCCAAATTCAACCAAACTTGCCACAAAGCATCCTTGGGTAAAGGGGATTCAAGTTTGTTCAAATGAAGGGCCACGCCCTCTTTCAAGGGGAGATAATTAGGAATTAGTGAAAAAATAATGGCATCATTTAAAAATCTTCTTCTCAAGAACCACTGGGCCAGGAAAGATGAAACTTATGTGGAAACATTCTCAGGTAGTGTAGATTCAAGTGTGTTCAAATCATGACCCCCGGGGGTAGGGTGGGGCCACAATGGGGGATCCAAGTTTTACATAGAAATATATAGGAAAATATCTTTAAAAATCTTCTTCTTAAGAACAGTAAAGCCATGATTGGTCATATTTATATGGAAGCATCCTCAGGTAGTGTAGATTCAAGTTTGTTCAAATCATGACCCCCGGGGGTAGGGTGGGGCCACAATGGGGGATCCAATTTTTACATAGAAATATATAGGAAAATATCTTTAAAAATCTTCTTCTTAAGAACAGCAAAGCCATGATTGGTCATATTTTTATGGAAGCATCCTCAGGTAGTGTAGATTCAAGTTTGTTCAAATCATGACCCCCGGGGGTAGGGTGGGGCCACAATGGGGGATCCAAGTTTTACATATATATAGGAAAATATCTTTAAAAATCTTCTTCTTAAGAACAGCAAAGCCATGATTGGTCATATTTTTATGGAAGCATCCTCAGGTAGTGTAGATTCAAGTTTGTTCAAATCAATACCCCCAGGGGTAGGGTGGGGCCACAATGGGGGATCCAAGTTTTACATAGATATATATAGGAAAATATCTTTAAAAATCTTCTTCTTAAGAACAGCAAAGCCATGATTGGTCATATTTTTATGGAAGCATCCTCAGGTAGTGTATATTCAAGTTTGTTCAAATCATGATCCCCCGGGGTAGGGTGGGGCCACAATGGGGGATCCAAGTTTTACATAGAAATATATAGGAAAAAATCTTTAAAAATCTTCTTAAGAACAGTAAAGCCAAGATTGGTCATATTTATATGGAAGCATCTTCAGGTAGTGTAGATTCAAGTTTGTTCAAATCATGATCCTCCGGGGTATGGTGGGGCCACAATGGGGGATCCAAGTTTTACATAGAAATATATAGGAAAAAATCTTTAAAATCTTCTTCTTAAGAACAGCAAAGCCATGATTGGTCATATTTTTATGGAAGCATCCTCAGGTAGTGTAGATTCAAGTTTGTTCAAATCATGACCCCCAGGGATAGGTTGGGGCCACAATGGGGGATCAGTTAGGAAAATATCGTTAAAAATCTTCTTCTTAAGAACAGTAAAGCCATGATTGGTCATTTTTATATGGAAGCATCCTCAGATAGTGAAGATTCAAGTTTGTTCAAATCATTACCCCAGGGATAGGTTGGGGCCACAATGGGTGATCAAAGTTTACAGAGGAATATATAGGAAAAAGTCTTTTTCTCAAGAACAGAAAAGCCATGATTAATCAAATTGATATGGAGGCATCTTTGGGTAGTGTAGAATGAAATTTGTTCAAATGAGGGCCCCCGGGGTAGGGTGGGGCCACAATGGGGGATCAAGTTTTTACAAATGAATACATGGGAAAAAAATCTGCTGCTCAAGAACAACAAAGCCATTTGTTATATTGATATGAAAGCATCATCAGGTAGTTTAAAATTCAACACCCCCCTCCCTGTAAACTTTTCAATACTGTACTGATTTTTGCTTTTTTTCCTAGCCAATGTGCTCAGGTGAGCGATGTGGCCAATGGGCCTCTTGTTGGTTTTTATCGCTTAGAGAATTCTACACGGAATTCTACACTCTCAATCACTATTTCATAAGTGAAAAAAACCCATGTATTTAACCTTTTTTTCTCTCAGGAAAACTTTGACTCGCCAATGTCCGTAAAATATAACATAGGTCCTTCAAAAATGCAAGGATTTTTAAGGATTTATTTAAAACAAATGAAAATAGCCCAGGATTCACACAGAAAAAAACATCATTAATAAAGATGAAAACGTAAATTAAAGGTAAAAAAAATGAGAAAGAAAATTAAGACATAATCGGGATTAAACCCAAAATAATAGAACACCGCTGACGTTGGAGGTTAGTGTGCAAGGTACAAGCCACCCGAGGAGCTCCGAGTGCCCACCTGCTCGTTGGAGTTTACGGAGACAGCCGCCATTTTGGATCCGCTTCAAATTTTAAAATGCGAATATCTAGAGTTTGGATTTATCAATTCTTAAACAAATTATATATTAGGCCTTTTTGGAAATGCCTCTATTAACCCTACTAATATAAAAGAAAAATATTGAAAGACAAAAAAGTTAGAAAATTCAACTTTTTAAATTCGCATCCGGTAACAACAGGAAGTACCGACGACGAACGAAAGGTCATGTCCTGGCTAGGATTTATCACGATCTATAATCCCTGAAAGTTTCACATTGATAACTTTTACCGTTCTTGAGATTATCTGCTGACAAAATGTCTTTTTAAATTCAGAAAATGGTCGGTAACTTGGCACCAGAAGTGATTTTCCAAAAAATCTCTCGGATAAAATAACTTCAGATTACAAGACATTCTTCCTGCAAATTTCATTAAATTTCATCGAGTAGTCTTTGAGAAATCACGTGCACAAAATTAGATGGGCGGAAAAATAATAAGAAGAAACAGTAGAATCACTATAAGGTCTTCCATGAAGATGGAAGACCTTAAAAATAAATAAAGATTCCACAAACTTCACCGGAAAATGAAGTGGGTTGGTATGTGGTCAAATCTACTGAGAAGGCATTTGGCCTTCCCAGGATTTGATCATGTGACGGACCCACATCATTTCCCAGTGAAGTTTTTAAACTTTCTTATTTATATCTTAAGTGTTATCTATAATTCGCAGAACTATGCTGAGTGGCCAAAATTATTGCACCAAACATGGCCGACATTGCTTGATGAGTTGAGTGAGCATATTTCGAAACTAATTATTACAATAAATAATTATTGTACTTACTTTTGTTTGTAAGTATTTAGCAGCATAGCCTCTCTGAATTATCACTTGGCATAATCTTGATGGAATTGATGCATACAGGCTTCAGATATATACTTGAGAGAGTCCATTCCATATCCTGATCACTGCAGCAATGAGATCTTGTGTACTTTTAATCTGATCTATCTCTCAGTTGAGTTTAACTTTATTGCAACGCCAGACAGTTTCTATAATGTTCAGATCTGGGGATTGTGCAGGCCAAATAAATATCTGAATTCCATTTTCCTGTTTCCATGCAGATGTCTGTCTTGATGAATGAGGGGTAGCATTGTCATCTTGGAATATAAATTGTCTATTTCCAAAAACTTTTGCAACTACTGGCTAAAGATGGGTATACTTCAGTGAGTAAAAATTACCATCAACAGGTATGATTATACCAATTCCTTTGTAAGTTATACACCCCCAAAACATGCAACTTACTTTGACTGGTGATTAATGCTGAATCGGGCAGTATAGTTTCCACTTTTCCGAGGCCTTTCTCCACAAACTGAGTTATTCTGTCCAATTACCACCTGCATTTTGTCAGAAAAATAACTTTCATCTACTGTTCATTTGTCCAGTGTCTCCTATTTCTATACCATAAAATTCAGCTTTGTTGATTCACTCTGTTGATGGTCTAAGTCTTCTGATTTTTTTCCCCTTCTGCAGCCCTCCTGTTCTAATCTACGGTGAACAGTTCTAACTGATACATGTACTTTTACAGATACTGTGTTGTTAAAATCTGTAGCAATATCAGGTGGAGATTGTCTAATATTTGTTTTTACCAGTCTAACAATTTTAAGATCATCTGTCATCAGTCTTGGACTGCCAATTTTCTGGTTTTCCACACTTCCAGATTCATTGAATTTCTTTAAAATTTGCCCAATTGTGCTTCGATGTATTCCTAGTGTTTCGCTTATTTTGTTGTTATTAATCCCCTCAAGTTTAAATCTAAATTAATTCCTTTACGCTGGATGACAACTCTTGTTTTTTCTTTAACATTATTTAATTACATTCGTTACAATACCAAAAATCGTCTGCTTTTCGTAAATATTCAAGGTTCTCCTAAACAATCATACCCAAGTAAATTATTACCTATGATGTTTTTTCTGACAAGTTATCCATCCCGATAAAAACAGAATATAAATACAATGACAATGCTAACGGCAATGACATCAGCCATGTTTGTTGCAATACTTTTGGCACTTAGTGTAGTTCTTGCATGTATTTTTATAGTAACTGAAAAACATGTTAGAAATGATTATTTTTGTAAATATGCTCCATGTGGTTAATCAACTCAGATCATCGTCTCTTTATCAATGATTTGTTGTCTTTGACACGACAACAAAATATTGCGATGCTGTAAGTACATGTATCTGCATATTACCGTATTATTTGTAATCTATAGCATTGTTCTTAATTAAAATACACTTACATTTACAACAACTTTTATTTTATAGAATATGTTAATAAATTACAATTAATTTAATAAAATAATAATAAATATTGTTGATATTTTTTCCATACAATAATGATTTTTTAAATATGATATTAATCTATTATTAAAATTCAAAACCTGTAGACCCTTGCACACACATTCTTTTATTTGGAAGCAGTTTGTGGTATTTCATACTTCTATGGATCCCTTACAGTATTGTATTATACTCAGGTGACCATTAAGGCCCATGGGCCTCTTGTCATGTTACATTTTCATCAATGATAGTCTTGATTTTCAGTAAAAGGTGTTTTGCTTATACTTACATCATATCCAACTGACAAAAATTTGAGCAAGTGTAATCATAGGAAAAGTTATGAATTACACAAATTCCTCAGAACCACTGGACCAATTTCAACCAAACTTAGATCAAAGCATTCTTGGGAGAAGGACATTCAAGTTTGTTCAAAAAAGGGCAACATCCACATACCTTCTTAAAGAGAAGATTATTAAGAAATGCAAAAATAGGATGGATGTCTTTAGAAATCTTCTTCTTAAGAACACGGGGCCAGAAAAGATGAAACCTTTGTGGAAGCTTCCTGACTTAGTGTAGATTCAAGTTTTTTTTCAAATCATGGCTCCTGGGGATAGGATAGGACCACAATATGAGTTAAGAGTTTTACATAGGAATATATAGGAAAAAAAACTTAGAGAATCTTTTTCTCAAGAACAGCAGGGCCATGATTAGTGATATTACTATGCAGGTATCCTGAGATAGTGTAAATAAGAACAACAAGACTATAATTCATGTCAGATACAAATATGTCAGCATCCTCAGTTAGTGTATATTCAAGGACATTAACTTTCAGATTCATTTGCCCTTTGGGCAAGTGATTTCAAACTTTGACTTGTCCGAATGCAAAACTTGGTTGCCCAGAAATAGGAGTAAAGAATATTGTTTATTACTGTAAATGTTTTGATAAGAAAAAAATTGACCAAATACACTATCACTTTGGCAAGTTGATTTTCATGAAAGCATATCCATGCTGCATTAAATGTGTATCACTGTCCTTGTCAATTTAACCTGTTAACACACACTGCCATGCAGTAAATACCCTCCGTTTTTCTTTTTAAAAAATCATATTTTAAAAAATTGTGAATTTTCAGAGATAACTGTGAAGAAACGGTAAAGGAAGGCATACATATCTTAAAAGTTCTTAGATGTAGAGCGTATTTACCACAAAAGAAAACATAATAACGAACCCAGTTTTTTAATGGAAGGTATAATCTAAAAATGGTACTAAGGAATTCCGAATGCAAATCAATGTCAGTCAGGTATCTGGTGGAAATCAAATGTTCAATATATTGTTTGATTTATAAATAAATGTAACCTAAATAAATATTTACATCTCTCTGAGAAAAAAATCAATTGCCGGATCGGACAAGTAAGTCAACAGTTTCACTTGCCCAAACTGAGAATTTACTTGTCCCCGGCAATCGGACAACCGTTATTGTCGATCCCTGATATTAAAATCCTGGCCCTAGGGGTAGGATGGGGCAACAATAAAGGATCAAAGTATGTAGGGGGAAAATATTTAAAAATCTATTTCTCAAGAACAGCAGAGCCATAATTATTGGTATAACCATGCAAGCATCTTCAGTTAGTGTAGATTTAAGTTTGTTCAAATCATGACCCCTGGGGTAGTTTGAGGCCACTATAAAGGATCAAAGTTTTAAATGGGAGAAAGTAGAAAAAAAAATCTTTATAAATCTTCTCAATAACAGCAGGACCATGATTAGTCTTATAAATTTGCATGTATCTCTATAAAGATAGTGTAGATTCAAGTTTGTTCAAATTATGGCCCCAAGGGTAGGGTGGTGCCATAATAGGAGTTGAAAGTTTTACATGGGAATATATAGGAATTTTTTTTTTTTTAAGTTTCCTGTAAGAACAGGAGGGCCATGATTAATTATATTTCCATGCAAGCATCTTCAGGTAGTGTAGATTCAAGTTTGTTCAAATCATTGCCCCCTGGGGTAGAATGGGTCCACAATAGGCAATCCAAACTTTCTAATAGGAATACTATACATAAATTTTCGTATTGAAAATTTAGCACAGTCACTGGGTATGGAGTTGTTAGCGTAAACATGAATTAGTGCTACACATGTCCGTGCCTGTATTGTATATATAAATGATTTCTTAGCGGTATTCATAAGTTAGCACATTGTTGTCCACGCCAAAGCCGCTTAAATCTGAAGCCATCTTTTTAAGTACACATACAGTATATGGGAAAAAAATCCTAATATCACAATAATAGCATGGTCATGGTTAGTGATAATTATGTGCAATCATCCTTAGGTAGTGTAGGTTCAATTTTGTTCAAATCAAGGCATTGGGAGGGGGGGTGGCACTGATGAAGACCAGCAGTGTTATGGCCAATGGGCCTCTTGTTTATAGTTTTTTAATGTATTTTACATATTCAATAGATTCAAACAAAAATGGTGGATCTGCAGTTCCTGTAATAGTTGGTGTAATAATTGGAGTTTTATTAGTGATTGCAATCGTGGTGGCAGTAGTGTTCTTCAAGCTACGTAAAGGTAAGCTTAACATAAAAGGTTTCACAATGATTAGATTTTAATTTTAGAAACAAGGAAGCTTAATTATCATTCCGGTTTCTTTCAGATGTTGAATATTTATATGTAAATTATGTTAGTGTATTTAAGACACATAAGATACTGGAATTTATGTTTGTCCATGATGTTAGTTGTTTTTTGGACTTGTCCAGTACCACAAAGCATATTTCAAACAAATTTACTACTAGACATCTTTGAAATGAAGGGCCATGCCCCTGCAAGGGTGGAAGAATGGAGAAGTTGGGGTAGTGTCATTTTAAAGTCTTCTTTTCAAGAACAAGTAACCAAAAAAATTGACAAAACTCAGCAATATGATAATGAGCAACTTAGATATTTGTATTCAATCATGAATTGGTTATATATTAAAAATTTATTGTCTCCTTGAAAATGTTTATTAAGCCATAGAAAACTAGAGGTACTGTGAGCACTAGCTGAGCTCACAAAATGATACCCCCCCCCCCCCCCCCCCCCCCGGGCCCGCCTCACATATGTTTATAATGGCAGTTAAAGTCCATGTTTTGCTATGGGAGACTCGAAATAAGTGTCAGATCAAAAAGTAAAATAGGAGGTGCACAATGGCACTATGTAATAAACAATCTGTGAAAGTATCCCTGGATTTTATTCAGTGGTAAAGGAGGAGTTGCGGATAAGAGATGGGTACCCCTCAATATTATAGAAAGAATGGCAGTGTCCATGTTTTGCTATGGGAAACTCAAAATAAGTGTCAGACCAGAAAGTAAAATAAGAGGTCACAATGGCACTATGTAGTAACAAAGATTCTGTGAAAGTCTCATTAAATTTCATTCAGTGGTATAAGAGGAGTTGCGGACAAAAAAAGCATAACGGACAGATGTTATGGATGGACACCCTCATCACTATAAAAATATGTCTGTTTACTATTACATGCTAATCAAAAATAGGATTGGTAAGTTGTATTTTTATACCCCAGCTTGAAAAGCGGGAATATATGGTGATGGGGTGTCCGTCCTTCCATCTCTACCCGTTTCTTATCTGCAACTCCTCCCCTACCACTGAATAAAATTTAATGTGACTTTCATAGCATCTCTATTACATAGCGCTATTGTTACCTACTATTTTACATTTCAATCAAACAGATGTTTGGGGTTTTCCAAAGCAAAACTTTGACACTGCCATTCTTTCTATAACACTTAGGGCATAATCCATCTCTTATCCACAACTCTTCTTATACCACTGAATAAAATTAAATGATAGAATATTTATTACACATTGCCATTGTGCACCTCCTATTTTACTTTATGATGGACACATATTTCAGGTTTCCCATAGCAAAACATGGACACTGCCATTCTTTCTATGAAAACGGGGGTACCCATCCCTTATCCGCAACCTCTTCTATACCATTGAATAAATTTTAATGAGACTTTCGTGGAATCTTTATTACATAGTGCCACTGTGCACCACAGCTTACACACATATTTCAGGTTTCCCATAGCAAAACATAGGCACTGCCATTTTCTATAATATCAGGGGTATACCCATTTCCTATACCACTGAATAAAATTTAATGATACTTTAACGGAATGTTTATTACATAGTGCCATTGTGCACCTCCTACTCATGTTTTGATCAGACAGATATTTTGGCTTTCCCAAAGCAAAAAATGGACTTTGCCATTATAAGCATATGGCAGTCAGGGGTATCATTTGTGAGCTCAGTGTTCACAATACATCAGTTTATACTATTGGCTTTGACAATGGATTTGGTTTCAAATTCACTTCTCCATAAAAGCAAAATGACCCCCCTAGACATATTCACCAATTCTGATTTCGAAGCTATAACAATACCAGGAATACATAATTATTAATGGTTGTCTGATTACTATTTACTAGAACCTAAGAAATATGCTTCCAGGAAGATAAAAATAAAAATAATTGTCCCATCAGGCAAGTGGAAAATTTAAGTTACTGAGCAAATCTCATTTCAAAACTTCTCTATTAATATTATTTATTAAATCATCTACTTGCTGTTTCAGAATAAATGAGAAAATTTAACAGATTTATTGATATCTAGTTATAGACAGTTTACAATGCATTTTGAACATTGGATCTGTTCTACCCTGTTAGGTGACCATATTTACATGTGTAGAGTGAAAAGTTGTTGCCCAGTATTTAAACCAAGGATGGGTTGTACTAGCTCTTTTTTTATTCCAGTCGATAGAGTGAAAAAAGTAAAGTACTGTGAAATCAAAATTTTGTGGGGGATTTCGTTTTGTTGTTTTCAAGGAATGAAGAGACCCGCTATTTCATGTCCAACACGAAATGTAAAATTTCATATATATAACTACTCAAAAACTCTTAATCAGTGAAATCAAACCCACAATTTTTCTCAAACCACCAAAATTTGATCCCCCAAAAATACGTAATTTTACAGTAATCATGATCTGTATGTGGCAGAAAATTTTTAGAGTTATCTTTCCCTTGTATACTACTTTATGCATTTGATATAAGTTCATTCTGTTAGCACTGGTATATACTTAGTTACATGGGTAGTATTATAAAAATTATTTGTAATTGTGGTATTGATTTAAAGAAAAAATATTAATAACTTTGTTTTTTTATTTATTAGGGAAAAAGCAGGAAAGTCCAAAGGATGAGAAAGGTAGGAGATGATTGGGTGTTACTTAAACAGCACATCAATTCCCAATTAGATACTAGCTGTGGAATCATTTTAATTCGTTGGGGTCAATGTTCATGAGGAACTAAAATTTACTGGCTTCGGGGCCACCAACGCTGAGATTTTCTCAAATCTGAGATTTCTCAGAAAATTTTAGTTTTTCTCTCCAAACTGTGCCACCAAATAAATATTTTCTCAAACTCAGACTTAACTTTTGAGATTTTTTCTCAAATCTAAGATCTTTCTCAAGCATGCGTGCCACCAACATTTTTTCCGACTCAGCTGAGAAAAAAAATCTGAGATTTCTCAGAAAATCTTGAGATTGGTACATAGTAGTCTCAAATAAAATCTCACAGAATTATTTTATGGTAAAATGGTTGCAAATGATATGAAAGTGCATATTTTAATCCATGTATATATAAACGCCCGTTTTGTCGTGTTTCTCCACCTTTGCAGTTACTAGGTAATTTGCTCAACACTCGCAATATTTTCCACATTTACTGAAGTTAATAAAATATATAATTACAATCTGGAGAGTCAGTTACTCTTCACTCCGTACAACATATATGGGGAAACTCGCTATATTAAATAGATAGATGGACAGACAGACCTTATGACAATGAGGTAAATGTTACGGCTTTTACGGACACTTCTTAACCTAAATGTTTCTTTACTCTAGCTCTCTTTATTACTAACTCTCTTCTCTAACTATTTAACATTTTATAAAACATTTACTGTACTTTGATTGACATGTCCAATTATGAATTAATCAGTGTTATCTATCCAATCACTGTCAATCTTTATTACTCAAGTCTGACCATCGGTAAAGGTTAATGCCCATTACTTCACCTGCGTTAATCCGCTAATTGTTACCTAAGTGTTTTAAATCAATTCGTGTCAAACGATCTTTTGATCTTGAAATGCATGTCCATCTGTCCTCACTATCTTATAAGCATTTACCCTTAAGACTAAAATTCTATGTACAAATATTGCTAAGCTCTTGATTCTTAACTTAATCTATAAAATTCTTAATTGTAAATTTGGATCTACTTTATACTCACAATGCGGATCTACTTTATACTCACAATGCATCACACACAAAAATCCTTGACCGTTCATATTATTATAAGAATAAGCCTGACTTAGGACCATTCTAAAGTACACGTATAAATTACGACAAGAACTTACAGTAATCTTTTTTTAATACGACCAGTTACATTTTGAAATAATTATAGTAATAATAAAAAAACAAGTATGGTCCTAAATGACCTTAGTTTTTATAATTATACGCAGTGAAACTTTTATTTACGATATGATAATAGGAATTAATCAGTTAATCGTCTCTTGATAAGCGTATGTGAGATTGATTTGGGTTTCCAGTGTAACGACGCATATATTGTTCACTATATTCATTGTTAAAAAAAGAATATTTTTCTGTGACATTTTCTCACAGGGGATCGTAGTATGTAGCCTCCTCTGTTTCTCTGACATTTTCTATAACAGAGATCGTGGAAAATGTGATGTGTTTCTTAGCCTCGTCCCTAAACATGTCCGTAGTTCAATTTCAGGTTTTTCTTTTATTGGGGGAAGGGGGGGGGGGCTGAAATTACCTGACAATAAAACAATTCTTATCGAAATTTTCTTCATAACTTGGGATCACGTAAACCAAGCATACATTCATGTATGTTACCCACCCCTGGACATATTTTCTGTCGCAACTTATGCACAAATTTTAAACACTCAAGAAAATTATGATGTGAGAAAATTAGCTATATATCGAGCATTTGATCAGCTATAGTTAAAAAATCACTAAGTGTTTATTTCTTATAATTAAGGCCAAATTGGCTTAGCCCCCCCCCCCCCCTTTTTTTTTTCAAAGATAGACATGATATAAGCATTGAAAAGTGGGGCTTACTTTTTTTCGTTGGTTTAGCCCCCCCCCACTTTCAATTAGCCACCCCACTTTCAATTTGCTTTCGACGCCTATGCCTAAAATATTTTTGCTGTAGAGAATAAAATGTAATAGAATAGATATATATATATATATATGACATTTTACAAAACAAAATTAAAGAAAGAAAAATGTGATATCGACCAGCAAATAAAGTCTTGGTCCGCCTATCTACTTTTTGGAATCTTTCGACACGTAATGTCACAATGGCGGAAGTGACGTCTCGGTGTATATTTTTGTGTTTTTGTCGACAGATGAGCCAAGACTATAAAGTTTGGATATGTTTTTGTGTTATTCTTCTGTAGGAATTATTTTACGGGGACTCTGTGAATATTTATTGTCGCAAAGATCGTAATGGAATCCTTTCCTTTGATGACTCGAAACAGCAAATAAAAGATAAAGGAAGTTGGAAATGTGTATTTTCGTGATTATACACCAAAATATTGCATAAACAACTAACTGAAAGGTAAATTCAATCATTGATTCAAAACCCCGTGCATTATAAGAAAAAAAGGTCGCATATAGCAATGAGAATTGGTCCAAGATATTTCTCACTTTTCAGCTTACGTGAGACGAATCTCAGAAATGTTAGTGGCACAGTGTTTTAGGAAAATCTCAGCTGAGGCAGAAATCTAAGATTTGAGCTGAGATTTTTATACGTTGGTGGCCTCAAAGCCTGGTTTACTGGGATGTAATTTCGTGGGTAACTCGTACCTTAAAAAGATTCAGTGAACAAATAAATTGAAAACTTGATCATTATGGGTGACACATGAAATCCACAACATTGGTCTCCCAAGAACAGTGATGATTCCACAGTGTATGTTTTACATTCACTAACCTTGCATTGATGATAACAATAAAGACAGATACTTTGCTTTATGCAAGTTTGGTCAGCATAGAATATACACTTTTTTCAATAACTTAAACATAGATGTTGCATATGGGGAGGACTATTATATGTACCTTATATGTTATATGAAGCTTAAGGTGCTGCATCTGACCTTTTTTTCAGATGTCAGTCAGTGTTTTTGGTTAAAATTTCAAGGAAAACCTTTTCCAAAAAGGATCAGATGCACATACATGTCAGTGTTGCCTCGGGGCACATACACACACACACCCTCTCACACACACGTAGATTAATTGCATTTTTGAAGTACTACTTATCTTCCCAGAGACATTTTTCGCAAATATTTCAGTCAATTACGGAATTCATTCCCAAGTAAGGACATTGACAAGTCAGGAGTTTCCAGAGAAAAAAGGTTTAATACATGGGTTTTTTCACTTGTGAAATAGTGATTGAGAGTGATCTCCCATGTAGAATTCTCTAAGCGGTGAAAACCAATAAAGCGTAAGTTACAGATAAACAAAAGCATGTGTAATTCCTTCATCTATATATCATCTATAGAGCAAGGAAAAAAAGTAGTAAAGGCTTTGTTGTACATTGTATTCAGAGGACAAAGAGCCAACAGGTCGTCATTTACAATAGTTATGCTCAGTACGTTGGGAAGGGCAAAGATGTGACATGCTGAAAGGTAGACCAATTGAGAACAGTTCTTAGGTCGTGTGAAGGAAGCAGCATTTAGTAACTACAAAGAAAATTTAAAAATAAATTCATACCAATATTTTTATAACAATGTGTTTCAATCAATTCAGTCAATTACATGATAGAAACAATCAACCAGTCACTCACTGACCATTATGAATAATATGTAATTATAGCTGTTAAGGGAAGTAACTCAAAAATAAAGATTCCGTGGTGCCGATATGTCCTTGTCTTGTTTCTATATATACATTTTCAGCAAAAATATCTATAAGTCATAGGAAATGAAGATACAATAATGTATATAATACAAAAGCTATATGAAATAAGTGGGTTTTAGAGAAATATTATGGTGAAAAGTTACGTAGGGCCCTTTTATCAACATTTTACATAGGAAATGCATTGAGAATTGCAAAAACACTGATTTGACAAAATCTAAAGATGAAGGTTGGAGTGGTAGGTTAAACAATCCAGAATGTAGCCTGTTTAGTACAATTAAACCTTGTCAAGAGTTCTTGAAAAATTCTATACGATAACCAGGAACCTTGCCAATGTCCTTAATAATGTGTCTTGTTTGTTAATTGATGAATGTTTTTATCACATAGAGGATTGTTTGTATCTGTTTGTTCATTGTTTTATTTTCAGGTGAAGTGAAAGTCATGCTCAACAGCGAAGAGCAAACTTAAAGGATAAGAATAAATAAGAAAACATTGGGCATTTTGATTTCATCTATTGATTGTTAAAAAGAATTTATTAAGTTTCAAAATTATTGCAAATTTTGTTTTTCATATAAAAAAAATTGGTTTTGTCATAAAAGCTGATTTCATTCTCAGTTAAGACAATATTTTAAACTATTCGACAGTATAATGTTCATGTTTTATTTTGTTTGTTTTTATTTTTTTTTAAGGGAGGGGGTTAATATTAGGGTGTATAACTTCACTGATAATTAATGGGAGAAGTATACCAATAACCAATACTTGTTGATTATAATACTAGATTTATTGTTTTGTTATTGATTATTTTCATTATGCTGTGCTCCTCAGGGCAGCAATTTTGAAATGGAAACAGGTCTTTTTTCATTAGCTCACCTGAGTCAAAGGCTCAATTGAGCATTTCTGATTGAAGGTTGTCCAGCTTCTCTCTGTCATGTGTTGTGTGTCAGTTTTTCACATTTTCAAATTTTCTGGAACCGCCAACCCAGTTTCAACCAAATTTGTCACAAAGTAGACTTGGGAGAAAGGGATTCAAGTTTGTTCAAATGAAGAGTCATTATACATACTTCTTTCAAAGGGAGATAATTAAGAAATAGAGAATGTTTAAAAAAAATTCTCCACATGATCCACTGGGCTGGAAAAAACAAAATTATTGTGAAAACTTTATGAGTGTAAATTCAAAATTATCCAAATCATGGCTCCCAAGGGTAGGGGGGAGCAACAATAGAGGATGAGTTATAAACATGGAATATATAGGAAACATATTTTTGAAAACCCTTTTCAAGAACAACAGGACAACAATTAGTCATTATAATATTCAAGTATTATCAGATTGTGCAGATTCAATTTGAGCAAATAATGGCCCCCAGGGGTATTGTGTGGCAACAATGGGAAATCAAAGTTTTACATGGGATATATTATTGGGAAAATTTTTTTAATAACTTCTTGTACAGAATGACAGAACCATGATTAGTCATACTTTATAAATATGCAAGCAGTTAGTGCCCAGGTAGTGCAGAATCAATTCAGTTTGTTTAAGCATAGCTCAGGGGATATGGTGGGCCATAATTTTTTACGTGAGAATAAAGAGGAAAAGAATCTCTAGAATTTTTCTGAAGATTGACTTGGGTGAGCTATGTGGCCCATAAGCCTCATGAGTATGAGAGGTCTTTTTCTTTGTTTTTATATTTTTTTCCGTCTGTAATATTACAAATTTAATTGTAGGATTCCTATGTTAGAGTTCAACTTTCTTGCTTTACACATTAATCTCAGCCAAACAAGTTGTTGGCAAAAATGAGATCCCTAATTTAACTAGAAACTAGAAATGAAGGACAAAACATATTATCAATCAAGGATATTTGTAAGATTCTTTATAGTGGATGATCCCCAGGATAACTTTGGGCCATAACAAGTTTTGAAGTTTTTCACTGTAGGGGATCTTATTTTTTAATAGGATAATAGAGATTGACATCCAGAAAAACAAAAATATAGAAGCATCAAATTAATCCATGAGATAATCACTAAATATGGCCTTTGACTTCATTTTGGGCCTAAAAAGTGTTTTCATTATATACTCACCTGGCAGAGAAAGAAATGTAACTCAAATGAGCATTGTGGCCCATAGGCATCTTTTCAGCTGAATTTTATTAATTCCAGATATAATACCACACTTAAATCAATTCCTATCAGTTTGGTATAACCATGTTTACCATGTGGAAAATGAGGGAAAAATGTTGAACATGAATAAGTTACATTTGTAACATAAATACATGTACTTTCTACAAAGTGATTCTGAGTACAAAGAGAAAATTCACCAAGAGCACCATAAAGTAGAGCACTCTGCAGCAATTGATACCAGTTTCATCCCCCCCCCCAAAAAAAAAACCCCTAAAAATAGATTTGGTGGATACAGCATTTTCACCACTTGCCATCTCCTTGTCAAGTATTTGACCAAACGGTCATACACTAATCATGTCATTATTGAAATCTTCCACTGGTTTTGACCTAATCTTTTATATTGAAACCATATTATTGATAATCTATTACTGAATATATATAAAATTCAAAAATCAAATAATGTTATCACTAATATATATAAAATTCAAAGATCAAATAATGTTATCACTGCCTTATTCTTGAACCATTTGACCTCCAAATCAAGACTTTTTTCTGGTCCCAGAAGACTCAGTGGCTTAAATTGAAGAAAAAGCTGAAAGATGGAGTATTCTGTTTAATGTGTCAACAGATTGTCTATTTATGTTAATTAATGTAAATGCATGTCAGCCATACAAGATGAAACTACATGTACATTTTATTAAAAAAAAGAATAAAGATTTAAGTATGAAGTCTAGTTGTACATCTTGGCAACTATTCTGTGTAGTCAGAGACATAAGTATGTTATATGTCTCTGGTGTAATGCACTATCTACAGTATGTCTGAATTGAGTATTTCATGTGTAGCTGACTGCTCATAGTTGTGTATGGATTGCTCACATTTTGGTAGAATGTAATTGCTTAATAAGCATGATAAGATTTAGACTTTAATTCAAGTTTTTACGTCCATGTGTTGTGTTATTGTGAAGATTATGTAAGTGAATATTTTTGTGCATAATATTTTTAAAGAGCTGAGAATGATAGTATTGTTTTGCTGCCTTTACCTTCAAATCAATTTTCAAAAGTTTATATATTTGAATGATTTTTAGATCACCTGAGTGACTCAGGTGACCTATTGCTATCTGTTTTTGTCTGTTATTGTCCGTCATCTGTCTGTCATAAACTTTTGAACATTTTCACCTTCTTCTCATAAACCTATGTAACAATTTCAAGCAATTTTGGTATAAAGCATCTATGAGCAAAAGGGAGGGGGGGGGAGGGGAACATTGTGAATTTCTAGGTCCCTGCCCCACTGGGGCCTGAGAGATGGGGTCAAAACCATAAAAATTAATAGAATTTTTAAAAATCATCTTCTTTACTACTGGACATCAAGCAGTTAAACTGTTGGCATGATTATAACAACCAATGAGTCCTTTACCAAAATTGTGAAATTCATGGCTCCAGGGTTGGGGGTTCTGGACTTAGAATATAGTGAAAATTCTTTGAAAATCTTCTTCTCTGCATCTGTATATTTAGCACAAAAAATAGGTGCATGGTTATGATAAGTAAGGATGTCTCTTAATTATGGAATTCATTGCCCCTGGGTCAGGGGTTGTGGTGTTAGGGTGGGGCTCTATTGATTATATAGAGAAAAATGCATTAATTCCTTGAAAATCCTAGTTGTAATGAACAAGGTCATTTTTACCAGATTTGTGAAATTCTTGATCACTGGGTTATGTCCTTACACTTGTACGGAAATTTCTACTCTACCGAGAGAAGTTATTCCCCTTTGCTATTCACCTGTGATAATTTGCTATTTACTTCTCTGCTCCTTGGTATTAAGCAAATAAAGTAAGTTTATGGTAATGATGAGCAAGGATGTCTCTTTCAAAAATGTGAATTTCATGGCCCCTGGGTCAAGGATTCAGTTGTCAGTGTTTTCTTTAGCATGTATGTTGATGGTGTATTAGCACTCACAAGTTAATAAATTTACATATACCCTATGATTTGTTACTGAGTACTCGACTTCTTAGTTGATCGTCCTATCAACTGATCATCCTATTTCTCTTGCTAGTGGGTAACACATCTTCATCTATCATATACATGTACATCTATGGATCCTTACAGTGTTGTACTATACTCAGGTGACTGTTGAGGTCCTTGGGCTTCTCATTCATATTTATATAGATAATTATATGGATTTTCACAATATATAATTTATTTTGGAAATCAAAGAGAGGTCCCCCCTTGTTTAATTTGAATAAATTTGCATTGTACATAAACATACAGAAAAACTTACGGTATATTTATCCATTCTTGTGAGTTTTTATTTAAAATCTGGTGATTTCTTAAAATTCGATTTCAATGGATAACATTTTCTACCCCCTTGATAAAAAGAGTAATTTAGAGCAATGAACTTTTTGACACTGGTATTGAAATTATAAATCAATTACTAATGAACTCTTCTTAGTTTTAATAGCCATATTGCCTTTAATGTTGAATTAAATGTGTGTAAATAAAATGTAGTCAGGAATGGAAAGTTAATTAGCATGCATAGTTTTTTTTTCTTGCAAGGAAAGTGTTGTACATGTATGCATTTATACATGTAGGTTATAATTTTGTAGAAGTTATACCTTTATAATAGATATGTAAACAATCATAATGACCCAGTACATTTTTTGTTCTTATCAAGGTATCTTAAACTGTCTGCTACAAGATGCTAATCTTGGCTAACTTTTTTTTACCTGTGGTATCGAGTCATCAGTGAACTTGGAGAGATTTAAAAACAATACACAGGTGTAAGTTCTAATGTCCATGTCTCATTAGAATGAATACCATCTGCATCAGTAAGATTGTGGGAAGTATTAAGTCAGTTTAAGTTTATTAAGAAACTGCCTCCTATTTGACAAAAATGGGGGAGGGGGGACTTTTTTAAAAAAAAAAATCATTTTTCATTTATCATTTACGATAGCCCTTGAAAGAAGGAGACTGGGTTACCCATGGATAACTTAAGAAAACATAGCAAATAAGAAACATGCAATACTTAAATGAAATACATGTAGCACAGCTATAAAATTCAACTACCTGTGTATAGACGATTAGCAGAGAATACGACCGAAGGTAGACTGCTAAACCTGGAGACATTCACGCTTGTAAAAATATGTCCCACCTTCCCTGAATTTTATCACCAAGTTAAAAAATTATAGTTATGTGATTATTGCATTAATAATAATTATTTCAAAACAGAAATATTAAAGTTCATGTATCTTAAACTAATGTATGCCATGTACTATGTCAAAGGTATCTGCATAAAAGCAGAGGAGAAAGCTTCAATGGTTGATATCCACCAAACATCTCTGATTTTATACCTCATATTTGACAGGATTATAAAAAAGAATGGATTCATCTTGGTGCCTGTTGTCTCTTTTAATTGTAAACAGGTGAAAAAAATGAAAAAAAAAGTTTGGTATTAATCACTTAACATGAAGTGGTGCCATAGAAGTCACAAGTGTTTATTATGCATCTGCTTTTGCAAGACTGTGTATTTGATTAGTATTTTAGCAACATAGACATTTTATAGCCTACTTTTTGTACATTTGCGCCTTGCAATACGATTTTGTATATCATTTAAATAAACGCTTATTAATCATATGTAATGTCTGTTGTTTTCTTAGGTCACTACAAGACTTTTTTTTGACAATTTCAATATGACAAATAATCATTCGGGACATGTACATCATTTGGAGCATTCTCTATCCAGAGTTGTTCTGCTACGCTCCCAGTGCAACGCTCGTACAATATTTTTGAATAAGTTTTGAGGAGCAAAATTGTAAAAATGTAATTATCAATAAGGATGATCATTTATTTTAAAACTATTATTCCAAAAACGATGTTTCTCATAAACTTTTTAATGCAATTTTTCACTATTTGAAAATTCTGCAATAATCTCGTTCATAGAACGTTGATAGAGGTGTATATTGAAGCGAACTCTGGATAATGTATTTGGAGAGGAAATGGAAGAAAAAGACATCAAAGTTAATTAAATTCTTTTTTGTTGTTGTTAACTCGCAATAGCCCTCTTAAATGCGAATTTCGAAGCACATTTTTTTCTCATCTGAAAAGTGGACAAAGTCGTACTTTTAAGATCACCGAAAACGCTCAGGTGACTGTTTTTGTCCGTCATCATGCGTTGGACGTAAACTTTTGAACATTGAACCGTTGAACCAATTTTCATCCAATTTTGACATAAAGTATCCATAAGTGAAGGGATATAAAATTTTGAATTTAATGATCCTGCCCCTCCTAACCAGAGCCTGAGGGTTGGGGCTAAAATCACCAAACTTGGTGCTATCCTTAAAAGTCTTCTTTACACTTGGACATCAAGCAGTCAAACTATTGGCATGATTGTAATGAGCATTGAACCCTCTACCAAAATTTTGGAATTCATAGCCCCAGGAACGGGGTTCTGGAGTTAGGACAGGGCTCTAATGGTTGTGGGAATGCATAAATTCTTTTAAAATCTCTCCCTCTGTATATTAAGCAGATAAACTAGGTGCATGGTTGTTATGTGCAAGGATGCCTCTTCCAGAATTGTGAAATTTGTGGCCCCTGGGTCAGAGGTTCTTGAGAAAAGGGTAGGGGTCTATTGATTACATGTATATAGTGAAATGCTTTATTTCTTCTTAAACCTTCATCTCTGCTCCAGCGTATTAATAAAACAAGCTAAGTTTATAGTTACGATGAGCAAGACTGCCTATAACAAAATTGTGAAATTCATAGCCCCTCGGTCAGGGGTTCCGGTTTTAGGGCAGGGCTCTAGTGAGTATATAGTGAAAATTCATTAATTCTTTGAAAATCTTCTCTGCTCATGGGTATTAACACAGGAATTCGCGTATTTATCAATTTAAGCGAAATTTTCAGTAAATTAAAAAAAATACGTAATACCTATAATAATAACACAAGGAGTGCAACGCATTCCAGGTCACCGGGGAACCCCTCCTTTAATATCAAGGCTGCCGCGCAATCAATTTTCAATCGAAAATTATAAAACACAAACCATTCTTTATGTCTGTTAATGCATATGATTTGAAATGCCTGTTTAACAACAGTAGCAGTGACATTTCTCAACGACTTCGCTCAAACGTTGGTTGTCCGCGACGCCATTACGTGACGTAATACGGGCGCGTCGATTTACCCAAAAGGAACATATAATGCCTAAAATGAACAATCATATACAATATGATACCAGAGTAAGCTTTTAACTTGTAATACGAGTACTTGTTTTCTATTGTGAAATATATATATAAAATATATGAAACATTTTACGGGGCATTAGGCGAGGGGGGGGGGGAGGGGTCAATACACAACTTACTGTTAATAAATCTAAATTTTTATGTACAGGTGGAAAAATATGTCAATAATTTGGGGGGCTGACGTCATCTTCATTTTTATTCTAAAATACTAAAAAAAAAATTGCCCGTGAATCTTTATGATTGATTATTAATTTTAGTATACTAAAGTACTCCTTGTTGTCTTGACCTTTTAGACATTGAACGGGTATATGTTTTCCAACCCTTATTGAATTTATTCAATGTAGTATGTTAAAAATTAAGCATATATTAATACTAGATTACGTTTAAGGTGTTAAAAAAACTTGAAAGCAGGAAGTAGATGGGGGGGGGGGGGTCCAATCCAAGTTAATGTGTCTTCAATTTTGGCGAGGAAATCTTTGACAAGTAAAAAAAGGAAGAACGAAAAGATTATTTAACAATCGTATACTGTGAGAATTTAATCAGTACTATCGCGAAAGATGGCGTACCCATCAATTGTAACGAAATTTTCAGTAAATAAAAAACCTATTAAATACTTATTTAAAAAAAAAAACGTAACACTTATAATTTGTGCTCATGCTCACCTGAGCAGAAGGCTAAAGTAAGCTTTTCTGATCATTATTTGTATGTTGTTTTAACAAGAAAAAGGAGTCCATTTTATAAGTATCTATATATGTGGTATGTATTTACTATGTTGACGTACAAGTTGGGGGGGGGGGGGGTTCGATATTCAAGGGTTGTTCAATAGCTGGACGCGCGCTTTTATTTTACTTCTATTTATTGGGGGGATATATGATTTTTTTTTTTATTGAACTTTATCACTCACAATTTTGTTCACATGCATGCAGTGTTACATTATTAAAAATTCATTTTACACATACATGTACAGACCCTCGCACACTTCATGCAAGAATATCAAAAAGTGCCCGTCGCCCGCGTGGCGCAGTGGTTAGAGCGTTCGCTCTAGAGTCGCGGCGTAAGGAGTTGATCCTTACGTCGCGGGTTCGAATCCCACTGTGGGACGTGGAGACTGGTCCTTCGGATGAGACCGTATAAACCGCGGTCCCGTGTCGCAGTAGGTGCTGGCACGAAAAAGATCCCTCACTGCTCAATGGCCGTAAGTGCCGAGTATAGGACAAAATTTGCAGCTCTCCACCGGCAAGTGGTGGCGTCTCCATATGAGTGAAAAATTCTCGAGAGGGACGTTAAACAACATTCAAACAAACAAAACAAACAAAAAGTGCCCAAAGCATTTTTTGAAATGATGTTTCAAATGTCAAAAGGAAATGATAATTATCTTTTAGGAGAAAGACACTGCTCAAAACATTTCCCTGTTACGTTCAAATCATTTGTCTACTGGAAGTACATGTAATTCATTTTGATTTCTTATATGTATCATTTTGTACGTTGTATTCTTCACATTATTTACACCTGTATGTAAAAACGGAGAACTGTGGAATTGTTTTGTAGAAGATTCATATCGTACATGACCTTAAATTATCTAAATTTCAATATTATTATTCATCTCTCGCATTTTTTTTTTGGGGGGGTAAATCAACGCACCCATTATAACGTCACGTAATGGCCCGCGTGGCGCAGTGGTTAGAGCGTTCGCTCTAGAGTCGCGGCGTAAGGAGTTGATCCTTACGTCGCGGGTTCGAATCCCACTGTGGGACGTGGAGACCGGTCCTTCGGATGAGACCGTATAAACCGAGGTCCCGTGTTTGAGCGAAGTCGATGAGAAATGTCACTGCTACTGTTGTTAAACAGGCATTTCAAATCATATGCATTAACAGACATAAAGAATGGTTCCTTCCGAAAAGAATGGTTTGTGTTTTATAATTTTCGATTGAAAATTGATTGCGCGGCAGTCTCGATATTAAGAGAGGGGTTCCCCGGTGACCTGGAATGCGTTGCACTCCTTGTGTTATTATTATAGGTATTACGTATTTTTTCTATTTACTGAAAGTTTCGGTTAAATTGATAGGTACGCGAACTCCTGTGGTATTAAGCAGATAAACCAAGTGCATGGTTATGATGAGCAATGGTTTATTTCTTGGCCCGTGGGTCAGGGTTTTTTGGTGTTAGAGCAGGGCTCTGTAGATCAGATATTGAAAATGCACATATTTAAATATCTTCTTCTCTGTCCCTTGTTATTTAGCAAACAAACTAAATTGTATGGTTATAAAAAGCAAAGGATGCCTCTTCCAAAATTATGAAATTCATAGCCCGTGGGTCAGCGGTTTTGATGTTAGCAACCTTTTCAAAAGTGAGGGGAGAGGGCATTTTCCAAAACAAAATCTGACAACCAAATAAAAAAATTAACTGACCAAAAGTGTGTGTGTGTGTGTGGGGGGGGGGGGGGGGGACTTTCCAAAATTATCAGACAAGCAAAAAAAAAAAAAAAAGAAGGTAATTTACTATCCAAATCCTGGAATTTGCCAGGTTTCCACCTTACAACATAAAAAAAGGGGGGCCAGCATCCAAAGGAAAATTTACTATAGCAAAATGCTATACTAAAAAAAGTGGGGAAGCCGCCCCGCCCCCCCCCCCCCCCCCCCACACACACACACACGTTTTACAGGCCTGAGGGCGGGGCTCTCGTAAATAAATTGTGAAAATGCATTATTTCTTTGAAAATCTCCTTCGTCTCTTGCAAGGGCGCCTCTTCCAAATTGTAAATTTCTCGACCCTCTGATTCTGGTGCTAGATCGGGGCTATATTGATTATATAGTGAAAATACTTTTATTCTTTGAAAATCTTCTTCTCTGCTGCTGGGTATTAAGCAAACAAAATAAGTGCATAGTTTCGATGAGCACGTGTGCCTCTTCCAAAATTTTGAATTTGATGGCCCCTGAGTAAGGGGTTCTGGTGTAGGGCTGGTCTGTGTTGAATATATAGTGAAAACTTGTAATTCTTCGAAATCTTCTCTGCGCCAGGGCATCTAGGAGGCAATAGATTACTGTTATAATAAACAAGGGTATTTCTACCATATTTTTGAAATTGTAGACCTCTTGTTCAAGTGTTTTGGTGCGGGGCAGGCCTCAATCAATTTGTAGTCTATGGAAAGAAGTTATTCCCATTGCTATTCACCTATGATAATTAATCACTTGAAATGTCATTTGAATAAAAGAATTATATAAGAATTTTTATAATATACATTTCTAATACTAGAAGTACTTTCATAGTTTTTAATGGTCAGAAAGAGTTGTAGAAAAAAAAAGATCAATAATGAAACAAAAATACCTTATATTTGAACATTAGATGTTCTTCGAAGAACAAGAGAGGCCATTGTGAGAGAGAATGAAATTGGTTTTCTAT